AAAAAATAAGTGGGGTGATTATTATTATTACTGTTTTTAACATTATTACCACCATCATTATTATTACTATTAACCAACCCTACCCAACTCTCCTCCCCTTCATTATAGCAAATAATGGAACAAATAGAACTTTAACATCCACAAAAACACTACAAAAACCATGCAAGGCAAGAGAAATCTACTAGACTCTAGTTTCCAATGCCTTCCTAGGTTACTGTACGTCATCTATTTTTAGGCTAGAAAAAAGAAAGAAGCAAGTTTAATTGTGCTTCCAAAGATACCATGATAAAAGGCAAACAGGACAGCAAAGTTCACCAAATAACAAATTGTACCTTTCCTCATAATAGAATGCTGCTCATTCCAAGCATAGGACCATATTTCTAACATTCTCAAAGAATAGTACCCAGAGCCCAGACAACGGCAATCCAAAAACTCATTTTCATTCTTGTCAGTGGCAGTGAGGCTGAGACACAGCTGTATAGCAGATAAGCTTGAGCTCCAAGTCAAATTTTCTAATCAGAAAGGGGTCCCATTCTGTGGATCACTTACCATTTTGGCCTGCTTGTAGATTTCACCATAGGGGCCATCCCATCTCTATAAAGACTCTTGGTTTTACTGAAGTTAACAATGTTGAAAATGACCCTCTAAAAAAGAAAGGAGAAGTTCATTAGAAGACTATGCTATGCAAGTTGCTACTTTATGATAATTAAGACAAGAGACAATAAGCAGGGTTAAAGGAAGTGATATGGACTAGTTGCCAACTGCATGGTGAGGATAAATCGTGTCCACGAGAATGTAATGTGTTTGTGCCAGCTGAGCATAGCAGTTCATAGCACTGACTTGAACCTGGAATCCTGAATTTTAATCCCAACTCTACCACTTTCAAGTTCTGTGACCTTGCCAAGCTATTAAACATCTCGGTGTTTCAGTGTCCTTATTTGAAAAAAATGAGAATAATAACAGTACCTATCTCATAGGGTTCCAATAAGAATTAAATAATTAATACATACACAGTGTGTGAAACCATACTTCGTACATAATGAATGCTACATAAGTTTTAGTTATTAATTGCCCCCCCCCCTCTAGGCTGACTTATAATTTGCATGGAAATAAACGACATCATCAGAGTAACAGTAGTGCATTTTAATTCAACAAAATTAAAGACAGTAAATGAGTACAGAATTGCAATTTAAAAAATTCTCCAACTATAATACTTGGAACCCCTTTGCTAGAACTGGCAGATGTATGTCCTTTTTTGTATCTTCTTTTTTATCCTCTGCTAGAGGTGAGGACTACTGGGCTCAACCTGAATCTTAGCAATAATTTATAGAGGCATAGGTATTTGAATAAATCCCTTCCCCTCTCTGAGTTTTACCTTTAAAATGGGGAAGGAGAGTGATCTAGATGTCTAATGTCTTTCCAAGGGGATACTACAGTTAAAAAAGATCAGACCTTTGTTTTAGTGAACAACTTTGTCATAGGAGGGGAAGAGAGATTGTGAAAGAGAATTGAAATTAAAAAAACACTCAAAACCATTGACATAGCCCACAACAGAGATGATGATGACTAGAACCACGGCAGCCAGCATAGTTGGAGTAAAGGGAAAAATTTCAAGAGGTTACCACAGGCTAGCCTTTCTATCCAGAGGCCATGAAAGAGAAGGAAGCATCAAAATTCATGTATTATTTCATTCAACAATTATTTATTGCATGAGGTATAATATATATATATAACAATATATATTATATACATATAATATCAAGTGCCAAGGATTTCATATTTTAAAAAAGCTGAAATATTCTCCTATAACTATAATAAATAAATATTAACATCTTCATTTTATATATGTGGAAATTAAGCTCAGAGAGGTTACCTAACTTGTTCAAAGTCATGTAATTAATAGATAATGGAATCAATATTTGAATCCAGGGAATAAACAGATAAGATGTCCATGATTTTTACCATTGAGTTGCTTGCTAAGGTTCTAAAATTCCATAATTCCAACCAAATCTGTTTCCCAAAGTAAGGGCAAAAAGGAAATATAATGGCAATTTTTCAAGCCTTTAAAATTTGTTTTATTAAAAAGAGAAAATCAAAACCATTTTCTCTGGCTTGGTATTTGGGACTATCACAAACTGCTTTGTTTCATGAAACAAGCTTTTAGGAATAACTTGTCTTCTTTTTTCCTCAGAGACCCCAGCCATTGACACCATCTCCAGGCATTTCAGTTTCAGACCTTCCTTCTGTCATTAAATTAAGTCATCAAGAATGTCCAAGGCTGTTGCATTATTAATAACCTAGGCTTGCCTTTTGTCAGTTTAATTACTTCTCCTAGGGTCTTGGCTACTGCCTGATTTAAGAAAATCAATATGAAGGGGACAAATGGCCTTTGAACCTCACAGGGATTAATCCCCCTTTTTCTTCTGAGATTTTAAGTGTTAGATCCATTTCCTGTGAACACGGAAGCCAAACTGCACTTTCAGGATTTGGATTATTCATAAAAACAGGGAAAAAGCTAATGGAGAAATGATATGCATATGTGAAGCTGGAATAAAGAAATGAGGAATAATACGAAACATTTATTGATCATTAACATCTTACTATGTGGCTAGAAAATTTCCCAGGTATTTTTAATATGCTTTATTATTTGGCTACTCCATCCACAAACAAAAGTTTATTTTAGCCCAACTTTAGACATGAGGAAATTGACATTAATAAAAGCTAAGTGGCTTGCCCCCCAAAATCCCCGAACCGTTAACCTGTGGATCTGGGACGCAAATCTTAGATGTTCTGACCATAAACAGCATACTTTCTCTATGACATTAAATGAAAAAACTAACACCATCTTTTATAATTCCTTACCCATGCGTTTTTTATGTTTCCCAGCCATTTAGCAAATGCAGCATGTGGTGGTGAAAATCAAAAGTATTTGGAAGTAGGCAGTGCAGGTAATTTGGCTTTTCATATTTTACACTTAATTATCAGTTATTTACTCAAAATTAATCACAAGAAATGGCATCTATAAGATAATGATAACAGCAACTATAATAATGATGAAAAATTTCTGAGCATTTACTATGTACCAAATTCTGAGTTAAGCATTACGTCAATATTTTATATATTAGAATAACCTGATTGTAGGTTAGAATCACTTGTATAGCTTTTGAAAACCACAGATGCTTGGGCCCTACCACCAGGGATTCTGATATTCAATGTATTATCTCATTTGTTTTGAGGATAATAAACTTTTTGAGACAGGAACTCTTTGTTACCTCTTACTTGCACATAAGGTAAGAGATACTGAGATTAAGTTACTAAAATCATTGTAAGGGAAAATGCATTTGTATAGGTAACAGGTTTCTTAGGCCAAACTAAGATGACTGCCACAGTGTTTTTTCCGGCCGAGCCCCCATGGTTAGCTGGCCTTCTGGGGAGACATAAGTCATCATACTCATGTAACCAAGGTGTTATCTCCTGTGCGAACCCATGTGATCACGCTTTCCCATGGCATGTTGCCACTATTGTTCAGAGCCATATATAAGCACTTGCCATGTTCTCAGCCATGCTTTTCACCACTGCTGTATCCCCCCCACAAAAAAGAGCATGTCTCACCTTCCTGCTGCCACTCGCTTTTTCTTCCAATTTCTGAAGCTTGTGCTAGAGCACAAGCCAGCCACAGAGCATCCTCCTTACAATCATATAACTAATAAGTAGCAGAGCTAGAGTTTGAACCAAGTCTGTTGACTCAAGAGAGTAAGATCATGGACTTTCTAGCCAGATACACCTTGGATTGAAACCAGTTCCCCACCTGTTCTGTGAGGTTGGGAAATATAATTATTCTTTTTTTTTAATATTGATCGTTTACACCACAAATTGGGATGGCAACAGTATCCTAACAAAGTTGTTACAAGCATCTATGAGAGTATAAAAGTAAATCACCTGGTACATTGCACCTAGCTCAGAACAGGTGTGCAGTATTTATTGACTCTTTCCCTTCTCTTCAATAAAACCAGAATTTTTGGTACATTATAATTTCTTCCTCTCTTTACTTCTTTTTCCTTCTTTTTTAGATTTACATTTTTAATACAAGGCTCTTGGTTCAGTAATATGATAGTCTAGATCAGAGCTCTGCAAGTAGTGACCTGTGGCACACTGGTAGGCTAAGAGTGGGTATAACTCTCAAGGCAGCTGTGTGTGAAGACTGGAGCACTAACAATCCTGACCAAGGGACTCACGATGTTAGTGAAGGAGTTCAAGCTTCATTTCATTGGCCTCAAAGAGTGGCCCAATGTGGGTAAGTGTACGGTGAGGAGCCTGTGTGTAGTCTCAGACAGTGGCCTTGATTCTCTGGCTTCCCATAAATCCAATACTTTTGTCTAATAATAAGTTTTCCATTTAATGTTATCCAAGCTAGTTGCAAAGACTATTCTAAATATAGTCTATATGCATAAGAATGAAACTAGACCCTTATCTCTTCCCATATACAAAAATCAAATCAAAATAGATTAAATACTGAAATATAAGACCTGAAACTATGAAACCACTAAAAGAAAATATTGCAGAAATGGTTTAGGACATTGGTCTGGGCAAGGACTTCTTGAGTAATGCTCCCAAAGCACAGGCAACCAAAGCAAATTGGACAAAGGAAATCACATCAAGCTAAAAAGCTTGTGCACAGCAAAGAAAACAGTCAACAAAGGGAAGAGACAACCCACAAAATGGAAGAAAATATTTTCAAACTCACCATTTGACAAGGGAATAATAGATAGACTACATAAGGAACTTCAACAACTCAATAGGAAGAAATAAAATAATCCAATTAAAAAATGAGCAAAGGATCTGAATAGACATTTCTCAAAAGAAGACATGCAAATGGGCATTGGGTATATGAAAAAATGCTCAACATCATTCGTCATCAGAGAAATGCAAATCAAAACTATAATAAGATATCATCTCACCTCAGCTGAAATGGCTTTTCTTAAAAAGACAGGCAATAACAAATGTTGGTGAGGATATGAAGAAAGGGGACCCCTGCACACTGTTGCTGGGAATTTATTAATAAATTATGGCAACTACTGTGGAAAACAGTATGGGGGTTCCTTCAAAAAACCAAAAACAGAAATACCATATGACCCAGCTATCCCACTGCAGGGTATATATGTGAAGGAGAGGAATACAATATATCAAAAAGCTATCTGTACTCCCATGTTTATTGCAGCACTATTTACAAATAGCCAAAATTTGGAATCAACCTAAGTGTACATCAATGGATGAACGGATAAAAAAGTTGTGGTACATATACACAATGGAATATTATTCAGCTATTAAAAAGAATTAAATCCTGCCATCTTCAACAGCATGAATGTAAGTGGAGAATGTTAAATGAAATAAGCCAGGCAGAGAAAGACAAATCTCACATGTTCTCACTCATATGTGGGAGCTAAATATTAAAAACAATTGATCTCATGAATATAGAGAGTAGAATGATGGTTACCAGAGGCTGGGAAGGGCAGTGGGGAGGGGAGCATAACATGGCGATCATTAATGGGCAGAGAAATATATTTGGATGGTTAGATAGAGTGAATAATATTTGATAGCACAAGGTGACTATAGTCAACAATAAACTAGAGTATACTTGAAAATG